CACTAAAAATTGACAATATTCTGAGGTTTTTAAACTCAAACTTTAGCATTTATAGCATTTGATTGTGCTGTACAACATGTTATTAAGATTAATGACGTTTGTATTAATTCTTAAGTTTAAATGTAAATCTAAACATAAAAACTATTTAAATTATTTTTTCAGCTTGAATGCAAATTGAACCTAATTATATAATAATTATTATATGAATTGACGATAATTTTGAATTGAATTTACGCTAAAGAATAATTATTAAAAGTAATTGAAAGTACAATTTTAAAATTTCTGAGTTTGTTAGACAAGAATAGACGAATATTATATATAATAATAACTCAAATTAAGTAAATTAAACCTAACAAATCTTTAAACAAGAAATATTGTTGAAAAGTAATAATTTTATATCAAAAATATATTTCACACAAACCATAAGCTATTACTATAGAATATTAATTTCTTAATATTAATGCATAAAATTTGAAATAAAATAAATTCAAGTAATAAACAATTGATTCGTGAAACAATTAAGTGTAATGTTAATAAACTAGTCTTACTTTAAGTTGGGTTTGTTTACTATTGGCGGCACATCTGGTTGTCGAAAGACTCGTGCTTTCCATGTCTTCAACAAATATATTTCATTGAATGATAAATACAATAATAACAATAATAATGGAAGGAATAAACGATCATTCATTGGATGATTTCATTTGTAAAAACTGTATTTTAATTATGTCTCACAAATGAAAAAGGGAAAATTATTTTGAATGTTTGGATAAATGACTTTATGTGGAGAATATATACAGAACTGGAGATAAAACTGTTGTGAAAACACCTGAAAACAATAAATATATTCTTGCGATGAGAGCACATATACAGCAAAACACTCAATATATTGTATAAATATATACAATTCTGTACAGCATATGCATTATCTTACAAATAAACATATACAGTATTTGAGGTTAAATCCAGAAGTTTGGACTTAAAGTACATGAAAATTTCTTTTATATTTACAATAGTGTTGAGTAATATCGTCGGCAAAAGCTTTAAGAACACAGAAAGAACTGAGAGCTGAGAATGCCTTCTAAGTTACCATTGCTTAAGATATGCCATTAAATTGGTAGCGCTTTGGCTGTGAATTATTCATATGGACTACTCATGGCTTCTGGCGTTTCACACAATTCCGGCTATAATTCCAAACACAACACAACACTACACTAACAAACGGATAAACTTTTCTTTTTCATAGTATTTACCAATATTTGGCAAAATACGTAAGAAGTTCTAATACCTGTAAATGTTGAAAAGTATCACAAATATAAAAGTTTAAAAGTGTTGCTTAGAGTTAGACAATAGTTGATGACTGAAGACACCAGAAGTGAACAGAAGGACAGAATGAAGAGACGGGAGAGAAGGGAGCGATGCATAAGATGTGCACTGAAGACACACTTTACAGATATTTTCCTTTAGAGCGAACTCAGTGTTAATGTTAGTGAACACGAGTGTAGTGTACAGTGAATTGCATTGTGTGTTGAGAGGAGTATAGCGTATGTGTTGTTCACCACAAATGTCTTATGAAGACATGAAATGCATTGAGTCTCTAGTATTGTCTGTACGCCGACTCTAAAAACTTTCTCCGAAAAAAGCTTTCGATTAGTTAAGTCCTAGCGATTGAAGTCGTGTTTCAAAACTATTAAGAGTTTATAACTCAATGAATGACTTATTTTCTATTTTATTGTTTTCTGTTCGTATAATATAAGACATTAGTTTTAATGTAATTCCCATTTAATGATTGCCATCCTATGAAACACCTCTCCATTCTGTCCGATCTATCACTGATTGGAGACAACAGTTAGTATGTGTTGAAATGGAGGTTTGCTTTTTATTTGTTTGCAAAAAATACAAATAATTGCATTCATTTTATTTGTTTTTAAATCTCAATCATGTTTTCCGTTTGTTTTATGTCTATAAATATACAACAAAAGCGTTAAAATAAATAAATTTTGAAAATTAATATCTCGTAAACATTGATAAAATGATCCACTTTTTACTGTCATTATTCCCATACATGAATATATTCAATGAGTATATTCTTTCATCCTTTGACTAATAAAATATCAATTATATTTAAAATTTATATAAATTCTATACAATTTTTAGAGTAAAAATTTCTCAATTCAACTTATTTATACTGTATATAGATATGTGAATTTACAATACATTTTTTCGTAAAATTTTTGCTTATTTTCGTATTGTCAGCAAATGATGAATGAGTACTTAAATATTTTTAGTGGAAAAATATGTATTATTGTTTATTCGTTGAGTAAAATTGATTGAAATCTGAACACATGACAAAAACGTAGCGTTTATATGGCATTAAATTATAGAAAACGGCAAAATTGACTAAATTTTCAAGTTTCCTATTATCTAAGAGAGTCTCGGATTTCATAAGGAAAGTGCAAACAAAGTGCACAAAGCAATGACAAAATTATCTCCAATTTTGTGGACCGGTCTCTAAAAGTACTGAATGGCCTGAGGTTTGAAAACATTGAAAGTAAAAGATAGACTCAGATATTATTTCAAAGAATTATTTTTGTGAAATAAACAAATTTTTAAACGCATATTAGATTTCATTTTATCCTACTGAAACTACACTGTTTGTTTTTTACTAAAAATAATTGAGTTTATTTTGTCTTTATTTAGTCTCATGTGTTAATGTTTTTGATGTGCTGTCAAAGTGTTGTGTCAATTGGATAATTAAATTGAATGAAATACTAATTTAGACTTTCCTCTGATGAACTCTTCAAAAATGCACTTTAAGTCTGTATTAACTGTAAGAACTTCATTGTGTTTATTGATTTCAAAAAGCAATTGCATTTAGTGTACACTTTAATATAACACACATAAGATATCTCAAGACCCTATCATTTCCTTTTACTTTTATGAGTTTAGCAAAAATATCACCAAATCTGACCAAAATTATGATTATGATTATTGCGTTTTCTGTACTCATATCCAACTCCAACGCATTTTGTGCTTAATTTAACATTTCTTTTGAACAAAATTATGCCAAAAATTTAGATTTGCACAAAATAGCAACTTTAAGATGAAATCTGCTGAATAACAAACCATTAAATATTTATAACATCTGAATTAATATTTACTATATTGAGATATTATACATCAATGTTATGATTTTAATCTGATTATAACTACTTATCACATTAAATATTGAGTATAATTATAAAATTTATATACTGAAAATATATTTTTAAAAAGCGGAGTGTTTTAATTTTAAATTAAAAACTCATTTCTAAACGGTATTATAAAAATCATAATTAAAATCAAGTTAAGATAATATTTAATGACCTATTTTCTGATTATAATATTTTTATAATAATTCACAAGATATCACGTATTTTTGATAACAGTGACACAACTTTATTAATATATTATATGATATAAAACTCTATTCTAAATGACATTTAATAAATAATACTTATAATAAAATTACTTTTAAGCTTAATAAACTAAATTTATACAGTATATTATAAATTATATTAAAGTACTATATTATACTGCATAAATTATGAAATATTAAAAATCTTTAGTATACACAAATCTCTATAATAATTGTCAAAAATTATGAATAATAAGAAAAAGCTGAGGTATGATTTGATACTTACTGTATGTGTTTGTAACAAACAGTAGTTCTGGTCAAGAGTTTCCTGTCCTGGATAATTTCATTACTTAGTTACTGAAGACATTACTTCATTAGTAATCAATGATTCATATAATAAGTCATAAATTAAAAACTATAATTATTTATTGTAATCTTTATTTGTGATATATTGCATTGAAATGAAAAATGATTAATTCACAAAAGTAATACAAAATTGATATTAAAGTATTTAAAATATAAATTGAGTGAATACACATGAATTGGCACAACGTTTACATTTAATAATAGTTTTAGGTTCAAATTGAATTTTGCAATAATTTTAAAGTTATCTAATTATATAAATATTATTTTGAGCTCAAAATTATTACATAAATCCATTTACAATCGCCACAAAGTGTCATTACTTTTGCCACAAACTTAAATATAATTACAAAATTCTAAACAAATATTTACAGAATTAATATAATTGCCAACAATTAAAAGAATTTTACTTTTGTTTCAGAGTTTAATTAAAATCTTTAAACATAGACAGAAATCTTTTGTGAGAAATAATAAAAACAAATGACAAACAATTCAAGTGAAATAACATATTAAATATCATATTTAAATGTATTCAAGTGAATGTAAAAAAACAAATTTTCATTAAAGTCTATAGAAAATGTAAAAAATAAAATCTTATAAATTGACTCAACAAACTCAAATGTGTGTTTCCGAAAATAAATCATATACAGAATATATCATATAATATATAATTTTAAAAACTGTTTGATTGATAAGTGAGAAATTGAATCCTTTCTGACTGTGAATTCAAATTTTATGGGAATTATGAAAAAGTTTGTTTGGATGTGAACTCATGTGAACTCTATTGAAGGCATACTTTCTTATTAAAGAATATATTATGTAAAAGAATAAGCTTTCAAAGTCTTAACAAGAATTCAATAAATATTTAAATTGAGTTCATTTCCACTCTCCAAAGGAACTAACTTTGAATTCACAGAATTTTTTATGTATTCAAAGAATTTACTCAAAAATGCAATTAAGAGGATATTAGATTGAATTTTAAAATTAGCTTATTATACAGGTTTAACATTTAAGTAATTATACCATTAACTTTTGTATCTATTATAATTATGTATAATAAGCCATAATGTTGATCTTAACTTATAATTATTAATTGAAAGTACTTTTTATCGATCTTAAGAACCATAAATTGAGAACTTATTTAGTATTTCATGACATCTATTGTAATACTTATAAACAAAATACTGTAAATGGATAGAAATGTCTAAAAGACAATTCAATAGATGGAAGTCTATTGATAACTGTGTGTAACCTGTGTTCAAATTAATGTTTTAATCATATTTGTTGGGAAAATATTTTTAAAATTCAGTATTTTAATGGAAATAAATATAAATTGAATGAATAGAACTCTATAACAATCAATAATTAAATAAATCTAAGAGATATACAAACAATGAAATGCATTTTCAGGCAGACCCTGTTGATTTGATATTATATAAATGTTTGATAAAACTTTAAAAACTCTTTACTTTGTCTGAAAAAAATTAAGAATTCAATTGAGAAGAATGAGAAAGAATTGAAACAAAAGTAAAATTCATTGAATAATAAAAAGAAATTAAAAACAACCGAAATGAACAGAATTTGTGTAATGAATAAACAAGTGTTGTAATGAAAATTCTAAGACTAATGGATCCGTCTCATCACCTCTTTTTGCCCAATAAGTTAAAATTGTCGAAAAAGCTATCGGAGGGCTCATGAGGTGTGGGCCTGACTGCGGGCAACTGAACCCCTTTGATAATGTCTGCGGCCTTTTCGGCGATCATAATAATGGGAGCGTTAGTATTGCCGGACACCAACTTTGGCATAATAGAGCCGTCAACCACTCGCAGACCCTTCACGCCTCCCAGTACTCTAAGCTCGGGGTCGACCACAGCTGTCGGATCCCACGGCGGACCCATTTTGGCAGTGCCCACGGGATGGTAGATAGTGGCCGTGTAGGTGCGGGCAACACAGGCCAAGTACTCGTCGCTCCACATCTTGTAGATCTCACAGCCGGGAAACACTGTCGTGAATAACTGGGCCTTCATTTCCTGATAGGGAGGCGTCAAACCCACGGCTATAGAGATCTTCATGGCGTCAACCATTCCCAGGATGTCTTCCGGATGTGTCAGATATTTGGGATCAATTATTGGCGGGTCGTATGGGTTGGATGAGCGCAGTTTTATGTAGCCTATGCTCTTAGGGCGCAGTAGCACCGGATACAGACTGAACGTGTCGTACGGGAGGTAAGGCACGTACACCTTCTCCCACATCTCGCGGTTGAATCCCTGGACGCGACGAAATGTCTGTCCGTCGTCAGACGTCGGCCCGCCGTTCAACATATGGATCTCGAAGTCCGGGTAGTCGTCCGACTGATTGGCATACTTTGTCTTTATAAAGCCCAGACCTTCAACACCTCCTAACGTAGTCATTGGACCTGAAAATCAAGTTAAGCCAACAATTGAGATGATGTGAGAAATGAGAAATAAGGCAATAGTTTCAAACAATTTCAAACAGTTTGCTTTTTAGGTGTAAATCGTTTTCTTAACTCAAGTTAAACAAAACATAATAAAAATAAATGTTTTCTTTATTTTCACATAATTTCAATTCTTATTATTTATATTTCTCTATATTTTGCGAAATTTTAAGGAAATAATTCACAAACTTGCCATCAATTTGTAAGAATTGGGCAAAAATTAAAGTCAAAGTCATTCAATCAAAAGTAAATACCGTTTATTCGAGTAAAACGTTTGCTCTATTTTTTATATCAAAATGTTATCAAATATTTCGTAATTAAATAAATTTCATTCTTCTTCTACCTATTAATCAAATCCTATTTTGAATATTATTTGAGTCAATATAAGCTAATATGTCTATTATTCTCTATTAAATATAATATACTAAATGTTTACATTATTAAACAATTCATTAAATTTTTTTAGACTCAATCTTTGTTTAAATAAATTTGTTTAACTCATTAAACATTTCTTTTGAAAACATGAAATTTTCATTTAACAAATATTAAATTCGATTTTAATTTACAATCAATTGTTTCTTAATGTACGTGGGTGCTATTATTAATTGAAATTCAAATAAATTAAGAAAATTAGTTTCAAACTATTTATTTAACTTTCATTTGTGAAAATTTTAATTTTAATTATATTTTATAAAATAATTTAAAAATTTTGTTTGTTCTTGATATTTATGCTAGTATATTATAATATTTTTAATTGATAATATTCAATTATAACATAATTAAATACTAGTCAAACAAACTATCAAATATTTCACACGAAAAGAGTATGTATATAGTGTTTAATACATATCTTAAGATTTCTCAAAGTTGCAAATTGCATTGTAAATATTAAAAATAGTTTATTTCGCAATAATTAGCGAGAATAATATTTAGTACCGTAATTGATATAATAAGTGGTTTGTTGTTTGCCTACCAAACAACCCTGAGTTATTAAATCTCGTTTCAATTATTAAGCAAATAATTTGTTTCAATGTTTGCAAACAAATCAATTGAAAGGTTAACAAACCAACAAAAACTGTTAGTATTTACAGTAATACAAACATTATATAATTTGAATTGTAACCTAGCATTGCAGAAATGAGCAAAATTATATTTCAAAATAAAATGAGTCAAATTAACACAAATTAATTGGATTTAAACTCAAATCAAAAGAAAAAAAGCTTTAAATATAAAATAAAAATGAATAAAATGTTTGTTTACCTCTTCCGGAAGAAAAGTATGAAATAATGTTAGGAATGGAAACGATTCGTCTCTGAATTAATGAATATTTGCCGTCAATTGTGAAGTGTATTCCTCCCGGATATATATGGTCCTGAAGATTGAGACCAACGGGAAGGTCAGCTAAAAGTGGAATTCCGTTTTCGGCCAAATGCTCTTTAGGTCCGATTCCGGACAGCATTAGAAGTTGAGCCGTATTTATAGAACCGGCCGATAATATGATCTCTTTTCGGGCGTACACTATATGTGTGAGAGAGAAGCGGTCGAACTGAACGGCCTGTGCTCTCTTGAACTCATTGAATATAATTTTGGTCACATAAGCAAATGTCACGACATGTAGGTTTGGCCGGTCTCTGGCACTCTGGAGGAAGGCTTTAGACGTCGAACATCGGGCGCCGCGTCTGATAGTGCCCTGAGGTATGGCAAACCCGGCGTTCATCGGGCCGTTCAGGTCTATGTTGGGATACCCCAAGTGTTTGCCCGCTTCTGGAAACGCGGTCGCAATAGGACTGGCATCCGGTGGACTCGACACAGTCAGGTGACCGCCCACTCCGTGATATCCTATTAGGAGATTCAATTGTGGTCTGAATATTACTTTAAAACAAACATCATTTAAATAGTTGTATAAAATCTGTCAAAAACTAGTTTCTATGCGTTATTAGAAATTCATAATTGTTTTGAATTATATGCGAAAACCAATACTGAAATCGATAGCTTTAAGCTAAATTATGTTAAAAACAAACTTTTTGTGTTCTCTATTGATAAATGATTTGGTAAACGATAACAAGAAGTTGTATTTAATGTTAGTTTCCTATGCTTTAGTGCCCTTGAAATTAGATGTGTTACATGTAATGATGAGAATGTTATGACTTTTATTTCTATTGATTCGCCCATTAATTGCTTGGCTCTCATCGCAAATGAAATTATATTTAGAACTCATAATGAGTTCATTATTTCGAGAGATCTATAACTAAATAATTTGGTATTTGTGTTGTTATTGCTGAGTGTTTGTCACACTTATTAGACTTCAAATCGATTCGATGGCAACTATTTTGATGAATAGCTCTTTTATAGTGTCCTAAAAATAGAGAGTAGAGCACA